TATATATATATATATATGAACTAATACATCAGCCGAGTCAAAAGGGTATCTTGGATACCCAGGAAGTTCACACTAGGAACTCTGCAGCAGCATATTGAACATATTTAGGAAAACCAAAATTGCGTTTGGAGTTTACTTTAGTACTCCTCTTTTGAGAAGTTCAAATTACTTACAAATTTGTTTGTGTGGAAAAGATTGTACTGTAAGCGTTTGTTTTTTCTTTTTCTAGTCTTTCAAAAAAGTTGACATATAAAAGCTTTTGGGAACAAATTAAGCAAAACCATTCAAAGACATCAGCTATCTAAACACATTTTTATTTTTCAGTCATTTTCTTTAGAAACTTCTCCACAATTTTTTTTCAAAGTCGTCCAAATGCCAGACATGTGTAATTCGCTTTAACGATGTTTACGTGTAAGGGGAGAAAAAATCTTTACATAGTTAATCCAATGTTTGGGTTCAAACATAAAATGTTGCATTGTTAGGGCAAACACACCATACTTAACAATGAATAGTTTCTTGTACAAACATATGCATAATAATACATTGTTTAGTTTGCCTAAAATTTACTAATATTGTATGGAGTGAAATTGGTTGATTACAAGTGGTTAAATAGTGTGATGACACGTGAAACTGAGAACAGACAAATATTAAGTCGGCAAAAAATCTGCACAGGATATGAAGTGCGTAACCGGTACAAGAGAGATCCCGAAGGAAGCACAACCGATGGTAAAGATTCAAAGGCTTGACATCGCCTAGCATTTAATGAGCAGTCGTAACAGAGAATATCTGCATTCAAAGACAGCCGTTATGCACCCATTAATGGTATTTTTATTCTCATTCAAGACAAGCTTGATTCAAGGATAGCTATAAATATCAGGATTGACAACCCTTGTAAGACAAAAAACACTCTGCACACAAAATCCATAGCATAATGTTTTATGCTCAACCTATATAATTTTATCATTACTTTTGCTTTTGCTCTAGGAAAGACTAAGCTTAGAATCAGGCTTGCTATTTTATTTAATGTCACGATCCGAATTTTCCACCTTCGGGACCGTGATGGTGCCTAACATTGCACCCGCTAGGCAAGCCAACGTTACAGATTATTACAACTATTTCCTTTATCTTTTTATAGTTAAAATTTAACAAAGCTAACTAGCGAAAATAAAAGCGGAAGTACACAAGTTAACTGATTACTCATTTACTATTAACAAAAGCCGAAATAGATACCACCTAGAAACTGGTGTCACAACTCACGGACTTTCTACAGATTACTACAAATACTGGTCTGAAAGAAAAGATTACGTCTGTCTCGAAAGTAAATAAAACAGAAATGAAGTAAAGGTAGAAGGGGACGCCAGGGCCTGCGGATGCCTGCAGGACTACCTTGGGTCTCCGGAATGCAGTAACAGCAACCAACCTCTCGATCAGCCACTAGCTCCGAAATCTGCACGGAAAGTGCAGAGTGCAGTATCAGTACAACCGACCCCATGTACTGGTAAGTGCCGAGAAAATGGTAATTACAATTAGATTTGATTTTGTGGTTCTAAAAATACGTGATCTAATTAGCTAGTTATTTAGGCAATAGATGCTAAGTACGAGTTTAGAAAATATGATAAGAGCTTGTAGATAGTATAATGACCAAACTGAAGGGATGGAGATCGGGACCTCGAGGTTGAGTCGGACACTCGGCTAAGGGCAATTGAAGGGGTATTAATAGCTATGGGGGCTGTGATTGCGACTCTTTATGACCGATAATAAGCAATAAATGAGGAACAATAAATGGAACACAATAAATGTAAGTAATAGATGAAGCAATAAGAGCAAGATAATATGTTAAGTTAGAGAGCAGAGAGAATGTTCTTGTATTGAATATTGAGCATCAGATCCTTTTACAAAATAACAAGGGTCCCCTTTATATATGAGGGGGAAATCCTAACATAGTACAAATGTATGTGTAATTATTACATAGAGTAGCTGTTACAACCACTCAATCAGCCTGGTGTAGACTGTCACTGTTTGCGCAGGCGTTTGTCAGAAAATACAGCTCCTAGGGAACCTCCCGCTTATCGTCGATAAACATCGGTCCATTCTGCCTCGATACCGAGCACGAAGGCTCCCCGAAGGCATCGAACCCCGGGCTATCCTCCGGGACCTTCGAGGCGAGATTGCGCAATGCCTTGTCGATCACAAAATTGGTCTTCCCGATTTTAGCCGTATACAGATAGTCCCCGCGTTTCTTAGAGTAAAATGAAGAGAAACGTCCTCGATATCTTACCCCTCGTGCGCCTCCATCAAAGCAAATAGTTCTGCTCTGCCAGGCGCCTGATGTAATAGACAGGGCTTGCAAAGGTCGCGTCCATACAATCCTCGGAATCTTCGAATTAATTATAGCGGTTGGCTGTCTTTTGGTCTGCTCCAATCGCACATGTTAGGCTTCTATAAATACTCATTTCTTCGCCCCTTCCTCTCTACTGCATTATCAGGCTCCCACCAGAGTTTTTCTTTTCTTCTTACCTCTCTCTCGTGCCTTTTCCTGAAACGTGATTTTTCGTTTCTTCTTTGCAATCCTCTGGTAAAAATGGCGAACACTTCCACCCCTGTCCCTCATGAAGATGTGCCTTTCTCTTCTACTCTCCCCTCTAAGGGCAAAACAATAGCGTTCCCCAGCGCTGGAGAATGCACTCTAGAGGCCTTTGGTACGATCTCCGATTTTAAGATCGAGAGACCTTCTTCGAAGCCAGGGCAATGCGAACTCGCGTCTCGATACGTTAGTTTAATAACAGACATCGAACGGGTGAAAATCGACTGTCGTTGAGGAGATGTGGTGTTAGTGGAGGTTCCTTTTCGGGGGGAAGACATAACGACGTATAAGGCTGGCTTCCTCAATGTGTATACTTATCCCTTTACCCTTGACTCGGCGGTACCCTCCGTGCCTTCGATATATCCCGTGATCCTCGACTTCTGTGGACGATATCAAGTGACTCTTGGCCAAATTCATCCTTTATTTTGGCGTATCGTTTACATGAACAGATATTACGTGAATATGATCGAGGGGATGCCCTTCACCCTTGATCATTTGATCAGAACGTACAGTCCCCGACTCTTCCGCGGGGGCCTGATTAAGCTCCGTTGCTGGGCCTCAAGGGCCCTCTTTGCTTGTACTGATGAGGTTAAGAACGGAGGGTGGGTGAGCCGCTTTATCTGAGTTAGGACTTCGGACTTGATTCCTGCAGTGAGGATGTCGTTCCCCAAAAGGTGGAATATGAAGCGTAAGTAGAAATGCTCAATTAACTGCTCATCTCTTTCTCTTGGATACATTTCTTTTATGGATTGACTTCCTCCGTTGATATTGCTGTCGCGGTGTACCCTGATGCGGTAAGGGATCTTTTAGACTGGGTAGTCGTACTGGACTCGACTTGCCCATACGTTGAGCGCGTGTGGCGCGATTTATCCAAGGCTCGATGGGAAGCCAAGGATCACGGTGGGACTTCAATCTCTGCTATAGTTTCAATTTTACAAAGGTTGTTTCTAATTGCGCTCTCATCCCCCATGCTTGTTTTTGTATTTAGACAGGTCTGGGGGAGGTCTTCTTGATGAGAGAAACTCTGCTTGGGGAAGCGGGTGCTCCAACACCCGATAAAGAGAGGAAAAGGCGAGGGGAGTCGCTGGCTTGCCCTCCGAAATCCAAGAAAACCAAAATGGAAGATCTTGAGGGTGGTTCAACGGCCTTAATTCCAAAAGGGTCCGGGAGTCCCCGAGCTGGAGGAGAAAGGAAAGATGATCCTTTGTCAGTGCCCAAATGGGGAGAGGACTTGGCTATCTTTCATACTTTTGCTTATTTTTACTGTGATCGACAGGCTATGCGAGCAGGTAATCTGTTTGTAAATTCTGTTTGGTGCCCCGACCTTTGCCTTTCTAAACTTATTTCTTCCATCATTCCAGGCCAAGGTGCTTTATGATCAGACGTTCGTCAATTTTGAAACTCAACTGACTCGCCGCGAGGACGAAGACAAGAAGCTTACCTCGGAAGCCGATGAGCTCAGGGCCCTTTCTACCAAGAGGGAGGAAGAACTCCGCGGCCTTCGGGATTGCTTTAGAGGCGGCGTCTCGGGAAAAGGCTCGTCTTACTGAATAGGTTACATAGCTCCTGTCTGTTTTTTGTCTATGGGTCTGACTGACTTCCGTATTGTAATATCTTTGGATCGATTTTTGCAGCTAATCTTTCAGAGAGATGTCCTCCGGGGAGAGGTGGTTTCGATCGGGCGCTGCCTTGAAGAAGCGAGGGACAAGAGCAGTAAACATAAGGATCTCCATACTACGTTGGTTGCTACGCTATCTGAGGTCAGGGCTGAGGCCAAGGAGCTCGTGGCCTCACATATGGAGGACGCTGCTACTGCAAATACCCAGGCCCAGAAAGTGTCCGAAAAGGCTGAGTTGCACCTGACCCGAGAAGTGGATTATGCCTGGTTAAAATCTCGAAGACACTCGAGAGTGTATATGTGGGGGCGTTGATTTAGCCGCCAAAATTGAGAGGGTGAAGACCCTAGAAGAGGAAGCTGCGGCCCTGCTTCCTTCCGAAAGCGAGTCGGGCAACGACTCAGGAGGTGATGAAGATGGAGACGAGGTCCCTGAAGGGGAGGAGGCCTTTGGAAATCCGGGGTCTATGACCGAGGCTTCTGAAAGCGTATTCTTTGCCGCTGAAGGCGTAGCTCCGGCGCTACATTAAAGTTTTCATTTGCTTTTTGCCTTTGCAAG